TTCGTTCCAATCTACTGAATCCACAGTTGTGAGCCTTGAGCTGATACATGCAATGTGCTCAAGTCTCTGCCTACACATGATCATAGTCTTGGGTCATCACGGGGTTCACTTTCTATAAGTGACCCAAATATCGAATAATTTTGTTGCGCGAAGAAATGGAATAGGACCCTGCATTGAAGTGGTAAGACAGGTTCGGATCCATGTCGCGTACCGATAGACAGATCTCTGTACCATTTGCCAGGAAAAGCTGTGTGGGTTGACTTTGCCCAATGGGTCGCCTTTCACGTTCCCATAGTCACATTACACGTTGTCTCGCTGTCCCATGTTGATGGTCAGCAATTCAAACTAGGTTATACTCTCGAGCTTCAGTGGCCCAGGCAGTATTGGCTTGTGGTCATACTGAGGCAATACGGGTTTGTTCCAAATGCTTGATTCATCTATATTTTTGCCATGCCATCTGCGGAAGCTACTCGGTTTTCTTTACATTATCGGCAACTTCCAGAGCCCGCATAAAGATTGATTTGAGTTCCTCGGTTCCCTCCAATCCCACACTGACACGGATCAGGTCCGGGTCAACACCGAACTGGGCAGCCCATTCCAGCTCCTGGTAGTGGGCGAGTAGGACGTAGGGCGAGGTCAGAGTGAAGTTGGTCCCGAGACTCGGCCCTTTCGCAGTCTCAACGGCATCGAAGAAGGCCATGGCGCACTCCCGACGATGAAACGTGACAGACAGCAGCGCACCGTAGCCGCCATCGGGGAGTCTGCATGCCTCATAGTTGGCGCGTGTTGGGTTCACCTTTGGGTAGTAGACGCGCTTGACGAGACGGCTGGCCGAGAGGATGTCGCATAGGGCCTCCGAGTTCATATTCGTCCTCTCGATGCGAGAGTGGAAGTCGCGGCTGTTCCTCTCCATGAACACTACGTCCTCTGGCCAGTAGGTGTCTTCGAAGTTTTGCGCGTAGGCCTCACGCAGCGCGGCGTAGTATCGGCTTGCCGGGTTCAAAATGGCGCTGCCTCCCATGACGTTGCAGTCACCAGAAAAGATCTTGGTCAGACTGCTGACGACAATGTCCGCAAACTTGACCACCTCGACATTGACAAATGTTCCGACCGTTTCATCCACAACGACACCGAAATCGTACTTGTCGGCGAGTTGCCGGATGCGCACCAGGTCTGGACACGACAGAAGCGGATTGGCCGGAAACTCGCAGAACAAGGCTAGGAAACGCTCTCCGTTCTCCAGCCGATTTTCCAAGTCGTCCAGGTCTTCCGATGAAGCATGACCGTAGAAGCGGCATCCTGGCCCGAACTTTTGCAGGATCTTCAAGGTGTCGACGTAAGGGAAACCAAAACTTATGCTCTCCAGATCACCCCTCGCACGGAGCATGGCTCGGTGGGCGTTGAAAATGGCGTTCATACCACAAGGGAAAAGATAGACGTCGCTTTCCTGCAGCTCAGAGAGACCCCTGGCGTTGGTCGTCATGGGTGGCAATGACGTGACGCTCGACTCGAGATCGGCGGCCATTGCGCCTGCGATTCTTCTGCGAATGGCTGACTTGGCACGTTCGACGAACGACAAATCCAGGTTCCGGCCGAAGCGCTCCTCGAGGAACCGCATGCTCTCGACAGACTCGGTCGTTCTGTTTCTGTCCTTGTCCGGCGTCGTGTGAGGACTGCCGTTCGCCACAGGTGGTGTCTTCATGTCGACGGATCCGCGCTGATACCTCCTGGGCCCCCTGCATGTCTTTTGCTGGTTGTTTTCCGGTGAACTTGGTCGGGACGAGGGGCAAAGGAGGCCCTCGCGGAGTAAGCCATGGCAAAATTCGGCCCGGCGACTAGAGACACCATCCCCAGAATGTTGCCAGTATTGCTTGGCCAGAGCGTACGATTCTGCTGGGCATATAACGCCAGATATGGTGGGAGACAGGGCTTTGAGCTGGCTCGAAATGTCTTGAGAAGCATCGAGGCCGAGATCAACGACTTGCAGTACGGACTTCAGCGAAACGTCGCCGTGTCGGCACATAAAGTCAACACACCGTCTGGCGGCTGCTGGGCTGGGAAATAGCATGGCTCGCTGGCCAGGGCGTCCATGAGTCCGCACAACAGCCTCAGCGAGGGCCTCGATGCTCCTGTGAACGAAGAATCTAGGAAGCGTGAGCAGGGCAGGATACAAAGGGTCGAGGACCGCACCACGAGCGTGCACATACCTTGGGTAGCCTGTTGTCAACTTGTCGATAACCCATTTCTCGCCCTCCTCATAGCCGACATTGTCCTTCCATGTAGGCAAAGACACACTCACGGCCTGGAGCAAGTCGTTGCCGAGTCAGTGAGTGATGAGTGAGGCTTCATTTAGCAGGTTTACTGACATGTGCTGTATCGGGGGGGATCGATTGGCCAAGATCGAATGTTGGCATCTTGGGGGGCACTGGTGGGCAGGTGGTTTCGTCAAAAGTGGAAAAAATGAGTATATGTTGCTCACTACCAGCTCATGAGAATATTTCGGCTCGTTGGTGGTCTAATCCCGAAGCTCCTGACAGATCATTACTCACAACAGACTCATAGTGAGATGCAGACCCAAGAACTTCCAGCACCCGCCCAATATGGTGCGGCACCGGAGCTGTCACACTGTACGCCTGAGACTTGCCAAAGGCCGATTGTCGGAGATCCATCAAATTAATCGACCAGATATGACTGACTCACACACAACTGCACATCCGTCCCACCGTCTCCACGATCCAAACGACCGCAGACTTGTTGCCCCAGCGCTAGTCGCTTGCTATATTACTAAGACAAGCTAAGGCGAATCTCACGGCTGGGCCAGCTGTTCATGATGGCGTCAAAACAGAGTGAGGCGACCTTGACTACTATATTCGTACCTATGTGCTGTGTCCAATTTCTGAACGCCGCCTTCCTGAGGCGACGCCGGTCAATCTGTAACTTTCTATAAATCCATCGGGCCGCTCGGGCCCTAATGCCTATAACTCCGTCATGCAAATCGTAATCCTAATGATTGTACCTTCGTCTACTCATCTTACTACCAACACAGCTGATACTATCGCTCGGGGCGACGCTGACGACATCGTCGTCCCAAGCAGCATGGCTGCTGCCGACGCCGCTCGTGGGCAATCCAATGTTGCGTGCTGAAACATGGCTGGGCGTGCGACTGGCGTTGGGTGGCGTCGAGTACGTGTTGCCGCCCATGACGACGTCGTGCATGCCTCCCGCATGAGATGCCGCCTTGCTGGGTGCCCTGCTGGCGCTGCTACGTGCCCGACTGGGAGCTTTACTAGGTGCCCTACTTGGTATGGCAACGATGCTAGACTCCCGGACACTAGGCGCCCGGCTGGGGGCGGCAACTACACTGGGTTCACGCACGCTGGGGGCCCTGGCGCTCGGCACGGCGACGACACTGGGCTCCCGTACGCTGGGGGCTCTAACACTCGGCGCCCTAACACTAGGGGCCCTGATGCTTGGTGCCTTGCTCGGGGCGCGACTTGTAGCGCGGCTTCTTACAGCCAGCTCCGTCTCAACGGTCGGGGGAGGTGGGCCGCGAATGGTGGTGGATGAGCGTCTGCTTCGAGCCGACACGTAGGTGTCGCGGTCAGAGTCCATAATATGACCATGAACGGAGGGGACCGCTGTCGGAGGACCACGGACAGAGGGCGGTGCGGTCGGAGGGCCACGAACCGAGCGCGGGCTGGCAGAGGAGGCTGCTGCTCGACAGTGCTGTACCGGGAGCCGACATTGCTCCGATGCTCGGTGTCCATGATCATGAGCGGCTGCGCGCGTCGCTGGGTGCTTCGCTGGGAGGGCGAGCACCACGAAGGGAAGCGACG